ATGCATGGACTAGTTTCTCAGTGTTACTGTTTAAAAGCATATTTCCAATTCTGCCAATGTTGTGTGGTCAGTATTAATTTCGTCACCTTTTTTTTTAATTTAGTCTTAATGACAAAAATCAATTTTAGTCTTAGAATAGAATTCAACTTCATTGTCATTCCACCGTCACAAGTACAGAGCAATGAAATAATTTATCTGCATTTAATCCATCCCCTCGGGGAGCAGCTGGCTGCCATTGTGCGGCGCCCGGGGAGCAGTGTGCAGCTAAGGGTCTTGCTCAGGGACCCAGAATGGCAGTCTGTGGGAGTGGGGGATCGGATTCACAACCTCAGGATACCCCCCCCTACTAAATGACGCAAATCAATTTTAGTCTTGGTCAAATTTTTTGTCATTTTAGTCAACACTGTAAATAATAGAACTTCTCCACACACTGCTATTTAATTTATATAGCACTGTGCAGAATAGAACTTCACACACTGATTCTCTTTTTAACACACATCCCATTTTACACATTTAACCTTTTGTCGGCTTGTTTCATCATATACACAAAGTCTTCATCCTCAAACAGACTTCCGTTTCTTCACTAACCTCTGATGTGGCTGTGATGTCACTGTGTCGGGTATCTAGTTGGGAGGAAAAAATTATTATTATTATCATATTTTTATCTTCTGGAAAGAAGTTTTGTGCGTCATCGTCTCATCATCGTCACGGGAAAAAGGGGTGTTAACGAAATATTTTCGCCATCGTCCTGGTTCATGAAATTAACACTGTGTGGGTTAAAGAACTGAAATCTAGAAACCTATTTAAATAAACTTTCCTGGTTTAAAAATAATTCCAAGGTCTTTTAAGTTATTATTGAAGGCCGATTGAATGAAGTGGCTGACTGATCGGCTTCCTTTTCATTCAGAACCCTAGTCCTAAGATAAGGACTAAAGATTTCTGTCTTTTCTGAATTTAAAATTTGCTCATTTAAAGTCATCGTACCAGCTCTTCAGATGGAGCAGCTGCCATGGTGCAAGTAAACGGTGCAGCATGCAATCAGGCAGAAGGAGGAAAGAGGCGGCGCAAGTTTTATTCCCCACATTTAGGCGCCGTCCACACGAAGTCAAACCCTGGCCTAAACGCACAAATTTTTCACCAAACCAGCCTCTCATCCATACGAAGCTGGTTTTTCGGGGGTCTGTAAACGATCTTTTTTTTATTAAGCCTTCAGAGTGGGAAGATTTTGAAACGCCGTTTTCGCGTTTCCATCTTTAAGCTCTAACCGCA